GGAGCCTGAACCAGTGGAGGACTGTGTACAGAGCACCCTTGCTGCCTTATACCCACCTTTTGAAGCCACAGCCCCTACCCTGTTGGGCCAAGTGTTCCAGGTGGTGGAGAGGACTTACCGGGAGGATGCACTGAGGTACACGCTGGACTTCCTCGTACCCGCCAAACACCTGCTTGCCAAGGTCCAACAGGAAGCCTGTGTGAGTGACTGATGTAACCCTGTTTTGCCAGGCTAATTTCTTCCCACTTACGAGACACAGTCTTCCAAATACTGATCCCTGCAGGATCCCTTAAGACTCCTTTGCTGACCTCCCCCAGCATCTTAAGTATTGACTCTTAACAAACATTGACTTTCCCTAAGAGACCCTGAATTTCCAGAACCCAGTTCCAGATATTACCCCCTCATAAATTTCTCAAGATACTCCCTCACATCTGATTCAGAAAAGATTCTTCACTTCTGCAGACACAAAGACTTTGATTCCTCTAAGACAGTGGAATTTGTTGACTACCCCCTCATAAATTTCTCAAGATACTCCCTCACATCTGATTCAGAAAAGATTCTTCACTTCTGCAGACACAAAGACTTTGATTCCTCTAAGACAGTGGAATTTGTTGACCAGGTTTTGTAATGATTGAGTTCTTACCCTCCCACACATACAAGTAGCTTTCTAGGGATGCTTCCTACCACCAGAGGACTGACCAGTTCCAGTTCTTTCTGCCACATGATCTTTCCTATGCCCCTAGGGTTATAACCCACTAGACATAAGGGCAGGCCTGCTTAGAGTGGGCCCATTCTTACCACCCTCTCCTTCTAGTTTCTTCAGCAGAGACCTGATTACAGCCTCCTACCTCTCTCTCCAGGCCCAGTATAGCGGATTCCTCTTCTTCCACGAGGGCTGGCCACTCTGCTTGCATGAGCAGGTGGTAGTGCAGCTAGCAGCCCTACCCTGGCAGCTGCTGCGCCCAGGAGACTTCTACTTGCAGGTGGTGCCCTCAGCAGCCCAAGCACCCCGACTGGCCCTCAAATGTCTAGCCCCAGGAGGTGGGCGGGTGCAAGAACTGCCAGTGCCCAGTGAAGCCTGTGCCTACCTATTCACACCTGAATGGCTACAAGGCATTAACAAGGATCGGCCAACAGGTCGGCTCAGCACTTGCCTACTGTCTGCACCCTCTGGAATTCAGCGGCTGCCCTGGGCCGAGCTCATCTGCCCACGGTTTGTACACAAAGGGAGCCTCATGGTTGGACATCGGCCAAGCACGCTGCCTCCAGAACTGCCATCTGGACCTTCAGGACTGCCCAGCCCTCCACACCCTGAGGAGGTGCTGGGTACCCGGAGTCCTGGGGATGGGCATAATGCTCCTGCAGAAGGACCGGAGGGTGAATATGTAGAGCTGTTGGAGGTGACATTGCCCGTGAGGGGAAACCCCACAGATGCTGAGGGCTCCTTGGCCCTCTCCAGGACCCATACAGTACCCACCCGTAAGAGTGCTGGAGGAAAGGGCCGGCATCGGAGACACCGGGCATGGATGCACCAGAAGGGCCTGGGCCCTCGAGACCAGGATGGGGCACGCCCGCCTGGTGAGGGGAGCAGCACTGGAGCCTCCCCTGGCTCTCCTCCTGGAGCTGAAGCTGTTCCAGATACAGCAGCCTTGGAAGGGACTGAGCCTGCAGCAGAGGTTCAGGGGGAAGCCTCTGAGTCCTGTCCTCTTCTGCCAGGGGAGGCTGGGGGAGGAGGCGGAGGCCAGGGGCCTGAAGGACCACCCGGTACCCCTCGAAGAACAGGCAAAGGGAACAGGAGAAAGAAGAGAGCCGCAGGCAGAGGTGCTGTCAGCCGAGGAGGGGACAGTGATCCACTCAGCCCCAGGGACAAGGAAGAGACCAGACCCCAGGAAGCCCCTGTCGGCCTGCCCTCACTAAATGAACAGGAGCCTCTAGAATGCAACCTGGTTAAGGAGAATGAAGGTTCTGGAAAGCCAGAGTTGGAGTCAAAAGAGGAGCTCAAACCAGCAGATGGAAACGAGTCTGGACCCCCAGAAGACTGTGGGCCTCCAGAAAAGGGGGTCAAAGAAAGTGAGCAAGAGGGATTGAGCCTGGTGCACACGGCAGGTGAGATGACAGTGAGGCCCCAGGGCAAGGGCAGGGTCTGGAGGAGGAGCAGTGGCTAGGCTGGGAGCAAATTGCCTAGCTCTGCCTGTATTTGTTTTGTGCAGGGTCCACAGGTCCAGAGGGGCTCCTGTCTGATCCCCCAACACAGCCCCTGGAGACTGTACAGGATATAAAAGGGGAGAGCATCCCAGAAGAGGCACCTCCAGTCTCCATCTCTGATGACCCAGATATAGCTTGGGACTTGATGGCATCTGGATTCTTCCTTCTGACTGGTCAGTGGGCATCAGTGGATAAAGGGAAAGGGGTTTAAAAGTTGGCTTAATTGGTAAATTGCCTGGCCTTGCAATCATGAGGACTTGAGCTCAGATCCCTAGCACCCACATAAAAGCTGGCATGGCATAGATCTGTAACCTGAGTGCAGGGAGGGGTGGAGATGAAGAAAGGCAGATTCCTGGACCTCATTGGCTAGCCAGTCTAGCTAAATGGATCATCTCCAGGTTCCATGAAAGACCCCATCTTAAAAAATTGGGTGGAGGAACTAGAGAGATGGCTCAACAGTTAAGAACACCTGCTGTTCTTCCAGAGGACTCAGGTTCAATTCATAGCAGCTACATGGTAGCTAACAAGAGTTCCAGGGAACCCAACACCCTCTTCCGGCATCTGTGGGCACTGTACACATGCGGTTCACTTACATACATGCAGGCAAAACACTCATACACATAAAATAAAAAATAATAAAATGTTTTTTTAATTGGATGGAGAATGATTGAAGAAGACCCCAACATTGACCTCTGGCCTCCACACACATTTGTACACACACACACACACACACACAGAGCATGGGCAGAAGGCAGAAAGTGGCCTGGGGAAAGAGAAGCTGTTGGAGCAGACTTGGGAGGAAGAAAGGATAGAAGGGAATAGTCAAAGATTGCTCCCAGCCAGGACAGCCTGGCCATTTTGTGTCTTCAGGAGGGGTGGATCAGAATGGGAGAGCTCTACTGACTATTACACCACCGTGCCTTCCTGAGGATCCTCCACCCTCCCAGGATACACTGAGCACTGCTCTTCATTTCCTCCATTCACTGCTCAGGTAAGCGTGGCAAACCTCAGCACCCCGGGCATTAACCTTCAGAGTCATGCGGACCTGCTCTTCTCCGGGCATTGACCTTCTGACCTCCAGGATATCTACTGATTCAACCCTCAGATTTTCAAGCCATTGACCTTGACCTTACCAACTGTTGACTTCCAGGATATCTTCACGGTCCTTAGAATCAACACTGCACTACCTAGATTATCAGTGCACTGGTTCATTCATCCGACAAACATTTTTTGAACACTGAGCACCTATTAGGCAAATGCTATGGGGCTGGTGTTTATGCCATCCCAGCACATAGAATTCTTTTTTGTTGTTGTTGTTCTTTTTGAGACAGGGTCTCCCTATAGCCCCAGCTCTCCTGGAACTCACTATGTAGACCAGGCTGGCCTTGAACTCACAGAGATCCGCCTGCCTCTGCCTCCCAAGTGCTGGGACTACAGGCGTGCACCACCACACCCAGCTAGAATTCTTAATTTTTCTAAACCCTAGTCCCCTGACAATAGCCATGTCAATGTGTGTTCCTGATTGTTGGGTCGCCTCCTGGACACCTATCCTTTGCTCTTTCATTGCTTCTTAAATGTGGTAGCTTCTGAAGACTGTTAACACTAAATCAGACCTGTGCTCTTCCTTGCCCTCTCTTTGATATGTCCCCAACACACAAACACACCTTTGGCTCTCCCTTCCCCACAGGCCTGATCTGCAGTTACTGGGGCTGACCACCCTGCTTGACCTTCGAAAGGCACCCCCACTGCCTCCAGCACTCATTCCTGCCTTGAGTCAACTTCAGGTAATCAACTCCCTGAGTGAGATGGGCATTTCTCCCAGACCCTCACTCTTCCTTGGTTGGCTGTTGTAGGCCACCCAACTGTCCAAAGTTTAAGGCTCTTCTCTGCACTCAGGAATCAGGAGACCCTCCCATCATCCAGCGGCTAGTGATTCTCACTCATGATGACCCTCCAGCTGAACTCTGTGAATTTCAGGTTGGTTCTCTCCTAGCTAGTCCCACATCAGTATTGTAGAGGGGAGAGGAGGCTGGCTGGCCCCCCATGCTGGTCTGAACCTCCAGAAGTGCCCATGCAGAAACCTCCTGCTTCTACTTGTCTACAGAGAGCTGAGTTGCTGGCAGAGAAGGACCTGAAAAGAGTGGCCAAGCCAGAGGAGCTCCAGTGGGACTTAGGAGGTCACAAGGACCTTTCACCCAGCCACTGGGTAGAGATACATCAGGTAAACTTCTTCGGAACCTAGGACCTGGGAGATAGCAGTGACCCAGCTGAGGACAGTCTAGGAGAGAAGACAGAGCCAGATACAGCCATGGTATTGGGAAAGATATCATTCCATTCAGTTGAGAAAATATTTATGGCTTATAAATGATGAGCAAATATTGTACCATAGGCTACTGGGAAGATGAGGGGCTTGTTACAGTCTTAATGTGACATTAAGTAATATATTCTTTCTGGTGGGAGATTAGATTGTCAAAACAACTGGAGAAGTGTTTGAGATAGTGTCAAGGGTTTCTAGGAAGTGCTGAGAGTTGAAAAGTTGGTTTTTGTCCCATGTGATCTCAGATGAGTAACTCTGCCTCACTTCTGGAGATGGTACCCTTTCTGTACTGGCTTCCACACCGTGTCCACAAATACGGAATATTCATCCATCAAGTGCAGCAATTGTGTGTGGTCTCTAAAGAGCCCCTCCAGCACTTACTCTTCATGATTCTATAAATCCAAGTGTTTAAGAAAAGAGGAATCAGCATGATCTCAGCTGAATACGAATAGCCTATGCTGTGGCTGTGCATTAAAGGGGAAGTAGGTGTGAAGAGGTGGGGGTTGGGGCTTGGCAGAATGTGATGCAAGAGAGGAAAAGGAAACACATATGCTATGTCAAGCCCATGCTAAGTGCTGGGCTGGTATCATCTCTAAGTTTTACAAAATCTACTTTTATTCTAATTTTACTGCTGAGGAAAATGAGTTTCAGGATTCCTCGGCCTGCCCGGTGTTATGTAATTAGGAAGCAACACAGTCAGAAACCGAATCCAGTGTTATCTCCATAAAGGTCTCCAGGACTGCCCCACCTTCACCTTGTGGCTTAAACTCCTTACCCTAAACCCTGGCCCTTGACTCTGTCTCTATTCATGGGTTTCAGGAAGTGGCAAGGCTGTGCAGCTTATGCCAAGGTGTGCTGACCTCTGTACGGCAGGCCATTGAGGAGCTAGAGGGAGCAGCAGAGCCAGCGCAAGAGGTATGGAATGACATAGGGTAATGCAGGTGGGAAAGGGATGGAACGCTGGGGTGGACACTTTCCAGTGGCACCCCAACTCTCTCTTTGATCCAAGGAGGCGGTGGGAATGCCTGAGCCCCTGCAGAAAGTGCTGGCAGATCCTCGGCTGACGGCACTGCAGAGGAATGGAGGAGCAATCCTGATGAGGCTGCGCTCCACGCATAGCAGCAGGTATGAGAGATGAGTATGCAGAGGCAGTGAGAGGGAGACAGCAGAGCACGGCCCCAGCCTTAGCTGACAGACAGTGCTTACTGCATCTGGGCAAGATCCTGTGTTTTTACACTTACAAACTTGACAGCATCATCCCTGTGTGCTAGTTATGATTACAAATAAAAAATTGATCAGAAGTGATAAATATCTTAGACAAGCTAGTTCAGTGAGGGAAGTTAAGATATAAGTTCAGGCAATCTGAGACTGGCCCAAGCTCTGCCCCGGTGCTGTACCACCTCTCACGGGGTACCAAGAGAACTGAAGAGCTTGACAAGGGCAGAGATTCACTGTAGCCCATCCTTCTCCAGGTTGGAGGGTCCAGGCCCGGCTATGCTTTACCAGGAGGTGGATGAGGCCATTCACCAGCTTGTGTGCCTTTCTAACCTACATGTTCAGCAGCAGGAGCAGCGCCAACGCGTGCACCGGCTCAAGCAGGTGAGGAGGGACCCAAACCCTACCCACATGCTGACATGTGATGTGCCACATGGATGGTGTTCTTCCAGCTCCCCTTACCTCCCCTGGAGGTTGGTCATACTAAGTGAGAGATTCAGTATGAGGGCAGGAGCGTCTTACACCAGCACAGAAGAAGCCAGTCTTCTGTTTATATTTGATCATGGATCCTTAGATATTTGGGTAGGTGCTAAGGGTCCCTAGGAAGCTCTGGAAATGTTGGCTTAGGGATGCTAGTTCCTTAGTATAAGGATAATATGTTTTATTTTTGTTATGTGGATTTTTGTTTTTTGATAGTTTATTATTTTTATGTGTGTGAGTGTATTGCCTGCAGGTATGTAATTGCACCCATGCTGTGTACTTCCTGAGGAAAATATGGCATTAAATCCCTTGGAACTGTTGTGGACCGTTCTTAGCAGCCATGTAGGTGCTGAGGATTGAACCTGGGTCCTCTGCAAGAGCAGCCAGTGCTTTTAACCACTGAGCCATTTCTCCAGGCCCTGTTTCGGGATTTTTTTTTTTTTTTTTTTTTTTTTTTTTGAGACAGGTTGTAACATAGCCTAGCTTGGCCTTAACCTCACTATGTAGCAGAGGCTGGTCTTGAACTGATGTTCCTGCCTCCATTTCGAAGTGTTGGAGTTACAGGCGTACACCACCAAGCCTGATAATAAGTATCTGATACAGATCTTTAGCTCCATTTAACGCACACGCTGCCTTGTTTCTTTTTGCGTCATCCACAATGGAGGCAGAAAAGGCCCTGTCTCCTCCCTTAAGAGGGGAGCACATTGCTGTAGGGATTTACTATCTGCCTCACTGTGTGGGGCAGAGGGGTTTTGAAATCTTATTCTTCCTAAGCTCCAAGCATGGTGAGTGCCTACCTCATGAACCCACGTATGGGCATCAGAAAGGTCACATCAAAGTCACTGCTAACGGGGATCCAGGGATTTGCTTTCTGGAATTGTTGCATATTGGCATCTGCGGTTCCAGTATCCAGTGAGCCGTCTCCTGTTGTCTGCTTCATTAGCTATCTCTCCCGATTTAAAAACCTGTTTGAAAAAACGGAATTTGGAGATTAAAGCTTTCAGTTCTAGCTCTGCTTGGTTTGAGATAGCGCATAAGTCATGAAGCTTCTGTGAGTTGCCTGTCCTCATGCAGATGGCACAACATACAAGGTGGTAGGACCATCAAATGAATTCCGCAGAGGACGATCAAAGTGTCTGTTGTTAGCACTGGCTATTAGGAACATTGAGACTTCTCACTTTCTGACCGCTGTACCCTAAGACTTTCTTCAGAGGGAAAAATTACCGTCCTTTTAGAATCAAATCTTTCAGAACAAATTTGAGAGTTCCTATAGCCGTATAATAGGAAACTAGGGTTGGACACACACACACACACACACACACACACACACACACACACACCCTTCTGAGCCATGTCTTCAGGCTTGATGCCTAGGAGTATTGCCCACCAGTTGTCAGAAAACAATGGATATGGAATGTCTCTTGGTCCTGTTATCCAACAACCCTCATCCTGTCTTTAGTTCCCATCAGTTTTATCTTTTTCCCCCATTTTGGCCTAGCCTTGGCATACAAATTTGTGTCTCCTGCCAGCCTAGCTTTCATGTAGGCACTTTACCAAAGGCTTCTTACCCAGTTTTTCAGTTGATCCTTGTAGGAACTGTTATCATTCATTGTTACCGTCCCACATGTGAGATAAAATGAGACTACCAAGGTTCTGTGGATTGGAGTGGTAGAGGTTGAATGGATCATGGCCTGGCCATAGGGAGAACTTCCCCTCCCTATGGCCCCTTGCTGTGTCTCAGGTGTTGCAGTGGCTCTCAGGTCCAGGGGAGGAGCAGCTGGCCAGCTTTACCATGCCTGGAAACTCCCTGCCAGCCTTGCAGGAAACAGAGCTGCGATTCAGGGCTTTCAGCACTGAGGTGCAGGTAAGCATAGAGAGGCAGAGTACGGAGGCTCACTCAGAGGACCAGGCCTGAGCACAGCTTATCTTCTCCAGGAACGTCTGGCACAAGCCCGGGAGGCTTTGGCTCTGGAGGAGGACATCGCCTCCCAGAAGGTTCTGGATATCTTTGAACAGCGGCTGGAGCAGGTTGAGAGTGGCCTCCATCGGGCCCTGCGGCTACAACGCTTCTTTCAGCAGGTTGGACAGAGTGCCTTCCTGGGCCCATTTTCGCTCTTCAGCCTGGAGAGGTTAATCGGGTAGTTGTTAAGAGCAGGGACTTGGGAACCCAGCTCCTCAGTTTGAGCTCTGCTTTTCCACCTACCTGCTGAATGACCTGAGGTCTGAGGCAAATGGCATCTACTTCATGGGGCTGCTTGAAGAGAACATGAAGGCAGTATTTTAAAGCACTTAGTACCAAACCTGCTCCTCACACTGTGTAAGCACTAGCTCCTCTGTGCTTAGAGGAGGCAGCATCTCCAGTAACAGTGTTAGACAGCAGTGCCGGGTCAGTGAAAGGCCGTGGAGCTGATGTGTACTGGTGAAGCACTGACAAGAGGGTGTGTGTGGGAGAGGCATGGGGCCTCATCTTTTTTCTCTGTCTCTAATCTTTTTGGCTTTTGTAGGCACACGAATGGGTAGATGAGGGTTCTGCTCGACTGGCAGGAGCTGGACCTGGTCGTGAGGCTGTACTGGCAGCCCTGGCCCTGCGGCGCACCCCGGAGCCTAGTGCAGGCACCTTCCAAGAGATGAGGGCCCTGGCCCTGGACCTGGGCAGCCCAGCAGCCCTCCGAGAATGGGGCCGATGCTGGGCCCGCTGCCAAGAGCTGGAAAGGAGGATTCAGCAACAGCTGGGAGAGGAGGCCAGTCCTCGAGGCCACCGGCGACGCCGGGCAGACAGCACCAGTAGTGCAGGAGCCCAGCATGGCACCCATAGCCCCTCACCTAGCCTCAGCTCACTTCTGCTCCCCAGCAGTCCTGGGCCACGGGCAGCCCCATCCCATTGCTCCCTGGCCCCATGTGGGGAGGACTATGAGGAGGAAGGCCCTGGGCTAGCTCCAGAAGCAGATGGAAGACCCCCAAAGGCCGTGCTGATCCGGGGCCTAGAGGTCACCAGCACCGAGGTGGTAGACAGGACGTGCTCACCCCGGGAACATGTGCTGCTGGGCCGGGCTGGGGGGCCAGATGGACCCTGGGGAGTAGGCACTCCCCGAATGGAACGCAAACGAAGCATCAGGTGAGAGTTAATATTAACTGTGTCCAGTAGGCAGACCCATCAGCCCAGCAGGGGAGAACATGATTCTGTTGTGGGCGATGACTTCCTTCAATGCCAAGTGACACCTCCATTACTTGGGTTGTCCGTACAGTGCCCAGCAGCGTCTGGTGTCTGAACTGATTGCCTGTGAAAAAGAGTATGTGACCACCCTAAATGAGCCAGTGCCACCCCCTGGGCCTGAACTAACTCCTGAGCTCCGAGGCACCTGGGCTGCAGCTCTGAGTGCCCGAGAGAGGCTTCGCAGCTTCCACCGGACTCATTTTCTGCAAGAGCTTCAGGGCTGCACCACCCATCCTCTGCGCATTGGGGCCTGCTTCCTGCGGCACGTGAGTGATCTGTAAAACTTCTCCAGGTTTTCCCCGTCCCATGTTCTGCCCTAGTCACCATCCCGTCTCAGTTTTGCTGCCCTGTGCCCTTTCCCCTCGAGAGGTCCTGGGGCCCCTCTGCCTCTGCATGGCCTTTGTGGACCTGTCCTAAAGTGCTGTCTGGACTTCACTGTCTGTGCACTGTCTAGGGAACCTTCATTCCCCAGCAAGCAGAGTGCTGTCTGGTGACCTGCCCCTCCTTGGGCTGCAGTGGGGATCAGAGGAAGAAGTTCGTCCACAGGGTTCTTACCCAGAACACTTTACTTTTTCTCTACTGGCACAGGGGGACCAGTTCAACCTTTATGCCCAGTTCGTAAAGCATCTATACAAACTAGAGAATGGTCTGGCTGCACTCACCACCCCGGCTAAGGTAAACTTTTCTTCAACCCTCATGAGAAAAGAAGAGAAAGGTGAGCCAACGTGATGGCTAGGTGGTACATGCGCTTGCCACCAAGCCTGATGACTAAGTTCCATCCCTGGGACCCACATGGTAGGAGAGGACCAGCTCCTGCAAGTTGTCCTCTGACCTCCACACACATACACTGTGACACATATGTATGCATATACATGCTTACACACACACAATAAAAATATATAATAAGACAATTTTTAAAAAGAAGAGAAAGGACCAGGAAGACCTAAAAACCCACCCAACTTTGAAATCTTGCAGGGGATAAAAGCTTTCATGAAAATGCCTAGGAATATCTACCAATAATCTTCAGTGATCTCCCAGATTACTGCCTTAGAGCCAGAGGCATCTCCTGGCACTGGACTGCAAGCCAGAAGCTGGATTCTTACCCACATCCACCACATAAGGGAATCTGGGCAAAACTTGATTCCTTGGGCCTCTATTTCTTTCCTTTTAAAAAGATTATTTATTTTTATTTTATGTGTATGAGTGTGTTTGCCTGCATACATGTATGTGCACTATGTGCATACCTGGTGCCTACAGAGGCCAGAAGAGGGCATCAGACCCCTAGAACTGGAGTCACAGATGGTTGTGAGCTACCATGTCCATGCTGGGAACCAAACCCAGGTCTTCTGCAAGAGCAGCAAGTGTTCCTGACCAGTGAGCCATCCCTCCAGTACCTAGGTTGCTGTTTCTACATATGGTAAACAAGGACTGTTTGCACTCTGTTCAACTCACAGGGAGCTCTGAGGATTGAAGGATTTCATATGAAAGGATGTGAAAGTGATTGCAAACACCAGAGAGTATAAGGTGCTATTGCCTGGGTTTCTCTTCAAGACACAGGATAGTTGCATCTGCTATAGGCTCCCTGCCTATTCTTCCTTTCTTTCAATTTTTAAAGCTTTTTAATTATTTTTTTCACTTGTATGAGTGTTTTACCTGCATGTATGTTAAGTGCACCATGTGCATGCAATGCCCACAGAGGCCAGAAGAGGGCGTTGGAGCCCCTGGATGGTTGTTAGCAGCCATATGGTAGCTGAAACTCGAACCCAAGTCCTCTGATAGAGCAACCAGTGCTCTTACCCACTGGGCTATCTCTCCAACCTCTTTTTAAATTATATTTTATTAATATGTGATGTGGCATGTGTGAGGAAGTTAGCCTGTGGGACTCAGTTCTCTTTTTCCGCTGTGTGGGTCCTGGGGATGGAACAGAGATCATCAGGCTTGGCAAGTTCCTATAGCTTCTGAGCCATCTCTCTGGCCCATGTTTTTTTCTTTCTTTACCTTAAAAGTTTTTTAATTTGTGTGTGTGTGTGTGCACGCGCACATGCATGCCATGGTGCCCATGTGGAATTCAGAAAACAACCTGCAGGACTTAGTTCTCTCCTATTGTATGGGTCCCAGGGATTGAACTCAGGTTGTCAGGCATCCTGGCAGGTACTTTTACCTGCTGAGCTATCTTACTGCCCCCTTTCTTTACCTTTGAGACTATATGGTCTTCCTAAACCCAAAAGTTTGAATCCAGCCTTTCACCTCCCTTTCCTCCAGATCTTGATCCCCTTCAGCTCCAACCTCTTTATCTGTCATCCTATCCTAGGGTTCCATGGAGGGTGGCCCTTGCCTGCCCCGGGCACTGCAGCAGCCTCTGGAGCAGCTGGCTCGATACAAACAGCTCCTGGAGGAGATCCTGCGGGAAGCAGGGCCTGAACTGAGCTCTGAGCGCCAGGCCCTCAGAGCTGCTATACAATTGCTCCAGGAGCAAGAAGCCCGAGGCAGAGATCTGCTCGCTGTGGAGGCCGTGAGAGGCTGTGAGGTAAGATCCTGGCTCAGCTCACTCTTGCTCAAACTGTGTAGCACCAGAGGCAGTAGTGTGGCTGGTGACCACAGAACCATATTCAAGGTCTGAGAGTGCTAGGCTCTAATCATTGAGTTACTGAACTTACCTGGCCCTGGTTAATAATATGTCCTGCCCAACATCCCATGTTCTTCCTACATCTGCCTGTGTTTTCTTCCCTTCCCAAGTCTTCCCTATCTGCTCTGACCTTCTGCCTACTTCTCAACACCCAACACACCATATTTTCCTCTCCCTAATTTCCTTTCCACACTGTGATTCTAGATCAGGCTGGAATCTTATTTCTCTGGAAAGCACTACCATACTTCTTTGCTGGTTCTTTTCCTTGGTCTCCAGTATGCAAAGACCCCATGGCAGGCGGAGTACTTACTGTGCAATGCATCTTCTGTTCTCAGATGCATGACTCTGCTGCCTGACAGGTGTGCTTTGCATGACAGGCAATGGACAGAGTTTAGGATGAGGCCTTCCCTGACTTCCTCACTATGCCTGAGGACCAGTACATTAGGTCACCTGACCTCTAAATCTCTTACTTTCCTTTACTTGCAAAGGGCCCCAGGGCAACCACGTTTCCTTCTCATTTCCTCAGATAGATCTGAAGGAGCAGGGACAGCTGTTGCATCGGGACCCTTTCACTGTCATCTGTGGCCGGAAGAAGTGCCTTCGCCATGTCTTTCTCTTTGAGGACCTGCTCTTATTCAGCAAGTTCAAGGGCTCTGAAGGAGGGTCTGAGATCTTTGTTTACAAGCAGGCTTTTAAGGTATACTGCCTGGAGTTGGGGGCAGTGTTCATTCTGAGAACTCAAAATGTTCTAGAAGTTCAACCCCAACCCAGGGGAATCTGCATCACCTAGAATAGGTTTTATCCTCCAGTCATTAAATTAAGGTGCCAGGAAATAACAGAAACCCCTGTCATTGACTGACACTATGGGATTATTCCTTAGAATTCATGCTGAAGACTTTAGAGGTATTTCATGACAGAATAAAAAAAGACCTTTCCCATTAAAGACACACATGTTTTTGTTTTTGTTTTGTTTTTTTTTTTTTTTTTTTTTTTTTTTTTTTTTTTTTTTCTCTCTCTTTTTTTTTTTTTTCTTTTTTTTTTGTTTTGTTTTTTCTTTTTTTTGACTTGGGGGGGCGGGGGGTTTTTTTTTTTTTTTTGTGTGTTTTTTTTGTTTTTTGTTTTTGTTTTGTTTTTTCTTTTTTTTGACTTGGGGGGGCGGGGGGTTTTTTTTTTTTTTTTGTGTGTTTTTTTTGTTTTTTGTTTTTGTTTTGTTTTTTCTTTTTTTTGACTTGGGGGGGCGGGGGGTTTTTTTTTTTTTTTTGTGTGTTTTTTTTGTTTTTTGTTTTTGTTTTGTTTTTTTTTTTTTTTTGTGTTTTATTTTTTTTTTTTTTTTTAGGTCTTTTTGAGACAAGGTCTCCCTGTAGCCCCAGCTGGCTTGGAACTCACTGTGTAGGCCAGGCTGGCCTCAAACACACAGAGATCCGCCTGCCTCTGCATCCCAAGTGCTGGGGGTGTGGTGGCACACGCCTTTAAGGGGCTACAGGGAGACCCTGTCTCCAAAAGACCAAAAAGAACTCAAAAAGGCAGGCCTTGCTCCAGGTATCCTGCTGGCTATAAACATCCATAGCAACCTATAGTCCTGAATCAGACCAGACGGAATGACTCTAAAGGTTTCTAAACTGTCCCAGTACACTAGTTCCAACTCTTAGGGGTAGTACACAGAAAAAGGACTGTTTGGAATAACATATATGTGGGTTTGAACACATACTAATACTCCATGGTAAGTTCTTGGGCAAGTTGCTACATGTCTTGGCCTCATTCGCCCTTCCATAAATTGAGGTTATTATGAAGACCATGTGTGCAGCACCTGGTACCTGATAGATATTGCAGATGTTAACTGGACATACACTGAGCTAAGCTGTGCTTGCCCATGTGATGCCACCTAAGGATACCTATGTCTTCACCCGTCCTCCTTTGCCCTTTCTCAGACTGCTGACATGGGACTGACAGAAAACATCGGGGACAGTGGACTCTGCTTTGAGCTGTGGTTTCGGCGACGGCGTGCACGAGAGGCGTACACTCTGCAGGCAGTCTCACCAGAGATCAAACTCAAATGGACCAGTTCTATTGCACAGTTACTGTGGAGACAGGCAGCCCACAATAAGGGTAATGGACAGATCATAGAGAGGGTATGCTTGGAATCAGGGTACAGTAGGAGGTCTTCTGGAGGCTATGGAGATGGCTTGAGAAAACAGTATGGGAGGAAGTAAGAATTCCTTAAGAGACGATTCAGAGTCTGGTTAGGAGATAATTGCTGAGGCAGAAATCAGCCTAAAGTGTGCCGTAGGAAAGAGAGAGCTAGAGAATTTCAGAGAAACGAGAAAATGGCTACGCAACAAAGTGAGAAACTGCTTACTGGCCAGTGGTTTAAGAACTGGTGCTACTTACTTGCTGTGTGAACTGGACTAGTTTCTTTTCCTGTTCTTGGTGTTAGTTTAGATTTTTTTTTTTTTCCTCTGAATCTCATTCTATTCGTGTGAAAAGTGAAATAGTACTATCATCATCTCAGGGTGATAAAGAGGATTAAGTAAGGTCTTATATATATTATATATATGCACTTTGTAAATTGCAAAGATACGTCAAAATGTGGTTTTTGCTCTTAATGCCCAGGATAAGGGAAGCTGAGCATTACAGAAAAAGTCTGGGGCTGGTGAGATGGTTCAGTGTGCTGTGCAAGCACAAGAACCTGAGTTTGAATCCCCAAAATTCACATAAAAGCCAGACAGCACCATGAGCAGCTGTAATCTCAGCACCCCTGTGAAGGAGGTGGGAGGCCAAGACAGGAATCTCCTCAGAAGCTCACTGGCCAGCTAGCCCTGCATGTGCAGCAGAAAAACCAGACACCTGCCTCAAAACAAGGTGGAAGGAGGGGACCAACACCCCAGGTTGCCCTCCGACCTCCAAACACACATGCCCACATACACATATGCCCACATACACACAGGCCCAAAGAAATGTTTTTAAGTGGGTGATTAAGATTCCAAATGGGAGGATGCAATGTATGGAAGAGAATAGTCATAAAGCAGAAGAGAAAGTCAAAGATTACCATAACCATGAGTAATGAGATACTAGAAGAAACGGAGGAAAGAGTTGGGAAGGAGAAAAACAAGTCAACCAGGATGTTCCTAGTGCTGAGCCAAGGAGGGCCGAGAGAAGCTTGCAAACAGCCTCTCTGTTCCTTAGAGCTCCGAGTGCAGCAGATGGTTTCCATGGGCATTGGGAATAAACCCTTCCTGGACATTAAAGCCCTTGGGGAACGGACACTGAGTGCCCTGCTCACTGGAAGAGGTGAGGTCCAGTTGCTGGGGCATGCCCCCAGAAGTCAGGCCTTGACACAGTGGGGAGGTGTGGTGGAAAGGCAGGAAGGATACTGAGTGGAAATCGCTTTCCAAAATCTGGGAGTGCCTGGGAAGCCCTCTGTGAGAGTTGTTCCAGGGAGTCAGGAGGACTTTCCCACACCAGCACCCCACCACCCCCACTCCCCACTCTCTGCAGCCGCCCGCACCCGGGCCTCGGTGGCCGTGTCGTCCTTTGAGCATGCGGGCCCCTCCCTTCCCGGCCTCTCGCCGGGGGCCTGCTCCCTGCCTGCCCGCGTCGAGGAGGAGGCCTGGGATCTGGACGTCAAGCAAATTTCCCTGGGTGAGGCACCTCTCAAGGGGTGGCTCCCAACAGCTGGGTCACGGTGATGTTCAGGCTCTCTGCTGCTAAGCAATTCCTTTTTCTAGCCAAGTAGCCCAGTTGCCATGACAACTAGGTACAGCTTCCCCATTGCTACGAGAGCCTCCTGTCTGGTTGCTAGGGTGATGCTTACAGCAGCCTTTTGCTAAGAAGCACTTCTGTACCTCTCTCTTCTCTAGCTCTCCTTAAGTTTCTATGGAAACTGCCTCAGCTTCCTGTTGTACCCTCCTGGTTCTCCACGGCAGTTCTTATAGTTTCCTGTCGCTTCTTCCCTGGTTGCTCTAATGATGCTGCTGACAATTTCCTGCCTCTTGGTAGGGGGGTTCTCTTGCAACTGGATTGCTATGGTGACTCACAGCGTCCTGTTGCTATGGAGCTTTTTCTTCCCTGCCGGAGCAGCTTGGTGGCTTAAGGTAATCTAGAAGTATTCCCTACCTCGCTCTCACCCTAGCTTCCCCTCCAGCCTCAGAAACACTTGATTCTTCTGGAGATGTGTCCCCAGGACCAAGAAACAGCCCCAGCCTGCAGCCCCCCCACCCTAGGAGCAGCACTCCCACTATGGCCAGTGGAGGGATCTTAGGGCTATCCCGGCAGGTAAGTCCCCCAGATAAGGCTGGGAACAGGTCATCTCTTTGGTCACTTTTTGGGTGGGCATTCTATCGTGGGTGTGGGGGTAAGGGGACCAGTAATCTAAATACTCTCAGCTGATGCTGCAGATTGGATTTATTATCCAGTCCGCCTTTCTCCTCTCTCCCAGGCCTGGCTGAGAAGCGTCAAGGTCAGAGGTAAAAAAGAACCATAAGCCGCAGGGAAACGTACACAATAGGCAACATATCTAAATTCACTGCAATTTCTGTGTCCTCAGAATCATGCCAGAGCCCTGAGTGACCCCACCACGCCTCTGTGACCTGGGTGAGTCAGCATCCCCTTCCTCCCACATCCAGCATGCCTTCCCCTATTTTGAGGACCTTCCTTCCTGACCACAGGTGCTTGGGAATCCACTTCTTCCCTCTCCCAATCCATCTCCCTCTTCTCTCCTGGCTTCCAGAGAAGATCCAGAACTTGGCTGCAGCCCTTCTCAGCAGTTTAGGCTGGTATGCCAGTGGGACAAAACGGAGGACTAAGCTCTGAGTTCCTCCCCTCTGCTTTCCTGGACAGAGGAGGGCGAAAGACAGAGCTGCTTCTGTTACTGCTGTCGCTAGCCCGCCCCTGCTTGGTGCCTTCTGCTACAGGAACCAGAGTGGCCCTGTTTGCTTGCCTTCATTTTCGTGCCCTGGGGAAAGGGAAATACCCCTCTTCTAGCCCTTCCCCATCCTGTGCCATGCCACACCCCCAGGACATTGCTCTGCTCATCGCCTGCCTCTTCCAGAGAAGACTCATCTCTGCCGGGTTGAAAAGACTTCCATTCTGGGATGTCATGGGAAATGAAGTTTTACAAACCAATGAGGGAGAGTGTGGCGGGCATTACAGACTTTATATATGTAATTACTGTTGTTATACTATTGCTATATTAAATGTATTTACTCGCACATTGCTTCCCAGGAGCCAGAGCAGGGCTCTTGATTACAGTGTTTGGACTAATAAGCCCTTCCCTAGAACCATTAACTGGAATTCAGAAAATAAAGCCAAGCCCCAAAGGTTCTACTGTTCTACTCCTTAGTGGCCCAAAGCTGACAATACTTCAGCCTGAGAGAGCCTGCCAATGCTTCAGGGGCTCCATGAAGTCTTCTTCCTCCCATTCTGCATCCACTTCTTGAGGCTGAGCCAATCACAAATGGGTCCAGCACAGTCCAAGAGTTCTCCAGTGATGCCCCACAGTGCACAAGAATCTCCTAGGCTACTTGTTAAATGGCAATTTTAGGGCCTGCCCACAGTTACTGAATCTGAAGTCTGGGAATAAAGCAAGATTCTGCATTTCTTATCAAGCTCACTGAGTGGTAACTAAATGCCTGAAGAGGACAGAGAAGCACACACAGGGCCTTGTGCCTCCAGACACCTGTTTATTGGGGACATGACTCTTCGACAGGAATCGTACCAAAAATAGTAACGTCTACAGGGCCCCTGATGGGGCTAGAAGGGTACAGTGCCCCCCCACCCCCACCCCTCATACAAAAATAAACTCTCACGCCTATGGACCAGCAAAAACTGGCAGAGTGGCTCCTCCACAGGAATACGTCCTCTGCCAGCCCTAGGACCCCGTTCTTTGACCCTCACCTCTGCCACTTCTAAGGCACTGTGACTCCCTTGGACTGGGCCCACCCTCCTTCACCCACCGCCCCCTTCACTCTGGTCCGCCCTGGGCTGGGATATGGGTCCCACGCTGCCCCGTGCTGGCTGCTCTACCCAACTACCTCTAGCGCCTCCCCGCTCGGGCGGGATAAGCTCACTAAGCTAATCACTCCTAAGAGGACTCCCTACCGTTCTTGACCCCCCAGGCCCGCCTCTCCGGATCTAGACACCCCGGGGCTGCCCTCCTCTTCTAGTGGAGGGCTGGGAGGGGTCTCCCCAGATGATACTCGGACATAGGGTGGAGACGTGTCAACTCGGGGCTGCCGGCGGCCCCGAGCCCGACGACTGTGGTGCACTTGCAGGTGCAAGGCCATGAGCTCCGGAGCTCCAGTGGCAAAAGGGCAGAAGAGGCAGCGGTGGAGTGTACCACCCGACCCGGCCTCACCTCCCGGTCCCGCCCGCAGGGACAGGTCCAGGGGTTCAGCCTCACCGCCTCGCCCGTTGCGCAGGGTCCTCCCGGGGCTGGCGGGCTTCCGACGGGACCCTTGTCCAGCACCGCTTGAAGGAGGCCGGGAACTGGCAGGGCCCTCCACCCAGGTGGCAGGGGACTGAGCCGCCTTGGCTCCTGAAGATGGTGGCTGCGGGGCTGTGCCCCGCAGGGAAGGGGGCGGAGGCTCTGGGGGTGGCCCCGGGCCGGCGCTGCTCCGCTGCTCTCGGTGGTGACGCTGAAGGTGGTACTTGAGCGAGCCGGACTGGGTGCCTGCATAGTCGCAGTGTGGACACTTGTAGGGGCGTTCACCTGGGGACAGTGGGTGAGATGGGGTCACAGTCCCTGCACACCCCAACGCGTATCAGCTCGATTTACAGACTTGCAAAAGCTGACCGGCCCCCTAGTTCACTTACTTGCGTCTTTCCAGTCCATCTCACCTGACCAATCTGAAAACTGCCCAGTCTGACCACCCGCATTCTGGAAGCTTCCAAACCTTTCTTCCTCCTAGGGCCTCCCCACGAGGCTTGCCACCCTCACCTGTGTGCACTCGCAGATGCACTTTGAGGTGATGCGCTGAGCGAAAAGACTTTCCACAGAAGGGGCAGTCTTTGCCGGTGGCCCCGCGGCCCCCTTCGGGTCGGGTCCCTCCAGCCAGCAGCCCGTTTTCTTCTGCAACATTAAAAGGAAATTATGGGGGTCACTCAGCCTTGTTCAGCCGGGTACCCACTACTCCATCTTCTGCGCCAGGAGGCAACAGCGGGTTTGGGAGTCCGAGGGGACGGTTCATTGTCGGAGCCCGGAGCCGGTGCCCTCGGAAGGCCACAGAGCTTCCAGTGGGAGGGGGTGCGGGGCAGAGGACCAAACGCAGGAAACCCCAGGGGAGAGCGGTCCACACGTACCCTGCGTGGCGGCAGATCTCGCCTGGGCTCCCACGGCGGGTGCAGCGTGCCCTGTCCCCTCACTTGGACGGGGGTGCAGGGAAGCCAGAGGGCCCAGCGACCTGCCCCGGGCCCAGCCCTCCTCGTCCGCCTCCACTTCTTCCTCCTCTTCTGGCTCTTCCGTGCGGTTCCGGCGAGCCCGGGCGGGAAGGGCCGAAGGCAGCGGGCGGAATCCGCCGTAGCTGCGGCCGGCTCCGGAGTCGGCGCCCTCGCCGTTGGGCCGCGCTTCCCCACCACGGACGCTCAGGTAGCCCAGGAGGCTCGGGGGCTCGCGGCGCTCGGCGGGGGTGGGTGCCGGGGCCAGGAGCAGCGCAGGGCCCAGAGGCTCGTAGGCCAGCAAGCTCAGGTCAGGAGGCTGCGGGGCCCTGGTCGGGGCGGAGCCGGGTCCCGGGGCGCGCAGGGGACCCAGCTTGCTGGTGTGCACCTTCATGTGGTTCTTAAGGAACCAGGGCTCCTTGAAGCAGCGGCCACACACAGGACACGCATGATCGAAGGAAGCCTTGTGCTTGCGCATGTGACCCTTGAGAAACCAGGACTGTGTAAAGCTCTGGCCGCACACTTGGCAGCGGAACTCGGGAGGCGCGGGGGGTTCCTCCGGAGCTGGAGTAGGAGCGGGTTTAGCCTCGCGTTCAGGCTGCGGCCTAGGCTCGGGCTCGGGTTCGGGCTCGGGCTCCAGCGCGGATCTAGATTCTGACTGCGGCGGAGACTGCGGCTCCGGCGTCGAGGTGGCCGCCAGGGGGCGCTCGGGAGCCCCGTGCGCCGTCAGGCTGTGGTGCAGCAGCTCCTCCTCCTGGCTGGAGCCGAAACTGCACAAGCTGCACTTCCAGGGCCTGTGCAGGATGTGCAGGTGGCGTTCCCGCTCTGCCGAGGTGCGAAACTTGCCTTTGCAGAAGGGGCATCGGAAGGCAGCCGAGGAAGGGGGCTGGGGGCGCGCCAGGCCCTCAGCCGCAGGGGTAGCCTGCATGGCCCCCGAGCTTCGGGCTCGCCCCAGGCGGGCTTCCCGCAGCAGGGCGCGCTCTTCCAGCTCCAGCAGCAGGCGCGCCGCAGGGCTGCGTGGGCGCTCGGGCTGGTGTGTTCGGAGGTGTGAGCGCAGCAGAGCACGCTGGGCCGCGCGGTGGCCGCAGTGTGGGCACTGGAAGGCCTGGGCGCCCGGGTGGGCTCGCAGGTGCAAAGCCAGGATGGAATTGAAGCGGAAGCGCTTTCCACACACAGGACAGGGGAAGCGCCGTTCACCTGCACGACTTTCAGACCAGCCCACTGCTCCCATCCCAGGAGACCCTGTGCTCACACCAGGCCCGTTGGAGTAGCGCTGCAGATCCAGCTCGCCGTCGAAGGCTGGGGGGGAAGGCTCTAGGTGGCCGACCAGGATGCGGGGACGTGAGCCCTGTGGGGAAGGAGCAAAGGGTGGAAAGGGGCGATCTAAGGAAAAAGCAAAGGCATCCAGGGGCGCACAACACAATAGCGGGTGGGCTAGGGCCTGACCAGAAACGCTGGGAACACCTTCAGAAATTGGGGGGGGGGGGCAAGTTAGCAACATAAATTCACATAAGAGGAAGTCAAAAAAAAAAAGAGATATCACCAAAGGTAGTTCTAGGTTAAGAGCAGAGCTTCACTCACCTCCATGGACCCCCTTCACATTCTTTGGTTCTGAGTGGAGGGAAGGAAGAAAAGCTGCTGATGAAGGCAACAGGTGCTGAGGACCTAAAACAAGACAGACTGATTGGAGGGAAGATGAGCCCTGGTTTTCAGTAGAATCACCCCAGCCCCAGCTCTTAGCATTCCGTATTCTTAAAGCCTATCTTTCCTATTTGCATCCTTCCTATTTGCTGTCATCAAAACTTGTACCTCTTCATTAGCACGCTGCCGAATAACCCAGATTCCCACACCCCACCCCCAAATTATATTTGAAACATTTAGCCCAGAACTACCACCTCACCCCCTGGTGATGTGAGAGGCCATCACAGTATACCCCTCTTCCAACTGGGTTGGGCTGTGCCTCTGGATAAACAAATGTAGAGGGCTTGCCATGCTCCTCAGTTATCCAAGTGGGACCAGTTCCCCGCAGACCCCTGGCCAGCCAGCCAGAATTCCTCCAGGTTCCACCGTCCCCACTTGCGCCCGCACCCTGTCTTCTGGTCTTTCCCCCTCACTCTCCCTCCCTCTTCCTGGATTCCTGATCCATTCATTTCCATTCATTACAGAGACTCATTCATGCATGGGAGAGAAACACCTCCCAGCAGCAGAGTCTGGAGACAGAGGGGGAGGGGCATGAAGGGAGAGAGCTACAGAGGGGATGAAGAGAGTTGGGGGAGGCGGGGAAGTTAAGGGGCACTGCCAGCCTAGGGAAGGGGTTAAAAACTGCAAATACCGCCTAGGTTTCATCCCGTTTCAAACCTTGGAGCCTGCAGTTTGATGGGGCATCTCAGCCCCTTTGTCCAGAGCTGTTCCGAAGCAGGCTTTCCTCCTCTCTGCAGGGGAGAGGCTTCCTCACACAAGAGGAGGATTACACTGGCTCTGAGCTCAAGAGGCTGGAGTGAGGGACGTGGGGGCGGGGCCTGGCCATCTGCACAGATAGGGGATCCACACATGCTCTGAGCAGGAAAGGGTTAAAATTCTCCAGTTAAAATTCCCTAGCCCTGACAAGTGCTGAGCACTGGGGCTGGGCAGAAGAGCTGAGAGGAAGAGGAGGGTGATAGATTTTCCTGATACTTAGCTGCTAAAAAGGTCCTGAAATTAGGCCCTGGATGCTCAGAAGTCATCCAGTCTACCTTCTCCATCCATATAGAATTATATCTCATCTAGGCTAGATGAACTTGGGTCTAGCTTTTTCTTTAAACCTCAGATAGCATATTTGATAAGGAACTTTCTTACAATGAGAATTGAGACTGAAATGGGTTGAGAAAAAAAAAGGACTCAAGCACTACTTTGCTTACAAATCTTTAACAGAAGTGCACTGGTCAGGAGTTAGCCTTGCTTATCAGAAAAGAAAAGGCTTGGGAGGGCCAAGCTTAATTTTCAACATTTAGTGGATATGGTAAAGACTCCATGAAGGGGTAAACACCTGTTACATGCAGAATCTGATCTTTGAGAGAATTAACAGATAAATTAACAAAATATCCTGTCCAGGCATCACTAGACAACCACCACCTCTTAATATGAGGATTTCTGTGGCTCCAAATTTGGGGACCCACTCTTGTCCTACAAATCCTCCAAATAAGCCCTTTACTGGAACCAAGAGCCTGGCCAGGTTCACTGGGTAATTTCATTCAGGGTAAGTTAGAATAAAACCAAGTGGTATAAGGTTATTGTAGGCCCAGTCTTACAACCTTTAGTAAAGCACTTAACCTCTCAGTTTGCTATTAAAATGAGAACATTGTTACTACTTTACATTCATAGTCCCTACCATCTTGAAAACTGTGTGGTTTTTACTCACAGGACTCTTCTGGACCCCAGACAGATGTTAAAACAAATGGCCATTCCTTCAGTACCATGGAGAGTGCAGTGGGCTACCAAAGAAGCCATTTTGGCTACCTCAGTATAAAATATAGAGCTAGGAAGTGCTAGAGAGGCCACACTGGCCATTTTGGCACCACAGATAAGACACAGGTAAAACGAGTGGATTTTTTTAAAGATCCTATTTGGGATCCATGGGGGTGGGGGGAGTAGTGGTAACAGGGGAACTGTCTGGGCCTTTTGGATGTCACTGAAAAGAGATAATAGAAAATACATGTACCTAGAAATATTTTAATTAGCTATAAGGAATGTCATAACAGTTACAGTTTGTACATCCTGGAATGAGTTACTGAGGCATCGTATTTGGGTCCATCACATTCTGTTGCTCTCCTGGGGATTCCCGGAACATCCTGGTGTACAGCCAATCTGGTACATTCAGAGGAAGCAGATGGCCGGGAGGGGTGTGTGTGTGAATAACTGCATGGTCATAGCTGACTAACCTATGGGCACATAGTCTGATTCAGAGAAGATTCTTGGGCCTCTAAAACTGCCTATAGAATACCAAACACACAGGAAACTGACCTCAGTTCTGAGACAAAAAAAAAAAGAGTAGTAACAGGGCAAGACTTCCACCCCAAAACAACAACAAACCCCACTTGCATGCAGCAGTTTCCAATATGGAATGTGGTTGATACATAAGAAAGTCCTAACTGAAGCTGAATTCCTTAGCAGGGGAAGTGTTCCCAGAAAGTAGCCTAAAATCAGTAAAATCCACTGAGACTCCTAGGCCTAGTCAAGATGGCTTCCATCATCTCTACATCAAACCAGGTCTCAGACACCAGATCTCTCAAGTTCTCAACAGGGGAGAACACTAAGATGAAATCCTATGACCCGGTAGACAAGTATTGTCTGTAGACAATCATCACACTTTCTATACTCAGGGCTTATACACCATTCTGAGCCTTGGCCAGCTAGTGGCACTGACCTACTTTCCACCTCCACTGGGAATCGGGGGTTATCTTGCCCTGGTTTGGATTCTAAGGGATGCAGGATCAGGCTTAAGGATCAGAAATATTCCAAAGCAACAGGCCAATTTTATATGCTAGGTGGAGCCAGCTGGTGAAGAGGTACAGACCACCAAACTTTACTGAGAGAGGGATGTATGGATGGATGGTGGAAAGAGAGAATTACCTGCTAAATGAAGGAACAAGAAGATTGTCCCTCAATCTTTTGTGATTCAAAATTTTTAACGTTAAGTGTTAAGCAGCAAGTGTTCAGGATCTGCCTGATCTGAACTAGGTCTTGTTAACTAGGTCTCTGGTCATCCCTAACACTTGACTTTCCCTGTGGGCAATCTTATGCTTCCTAAGTCAGCTAACAGTTATGATGACCACTGTACTAGAGGACATCAAATGGAAAGGGGCCTTTTAGGCTAGCGTCAGGACCACCTTGAGAACACAGATATGCCAACAATTCACTTTCAGGATCTTTCCATGGCCCTCTGGACCTCACTGGTCAGAGAGCTGCTCCAAACCCATCCTACACTGACGCCTTTTTGAGTGAGCTCTTAGAAAAGGTTCCTTTCTGCAGGACACGAGTTGGGGGCATGAAAATCTCAGTCACGGACTCCCAAATATATAGCAGGTAACAAGAAGGTGCACTCCCCCACCCCCATCTTATGCTAGACACATATCCTAGCATGTCCTAACTTGACCCCGATTCTGAAAGTTCTGAAGGACCTGGATTAGGGGAAGGGGACGTTCATACAGCCTAAGTCCCTTTAACTGGAGCTGACCCTAAAATAAGTCAGTGCTAACACTCACATGAGCCTCAGTCCAACGACTGGGGGTGGGTAGGAGAAAATACGCCTCCCAGAAATACTCTGGGAAAATACCCCTCCCAGAAATTGGTTGGCAAGTAGGGCAGGACCTGTGATCACACACAAGGGGCTGCACCAGCATACCCCACACTCCCTCCCGGGGAAAATAAGCCAGAAGGATGATGGGGGCAGGGTTGGGAGATAGGGAGGCCAGAGCTCAGCTACCCCGGGCCAGGAGAACAAAAGCTGAGTTACAGCCGCCTCCGCGGCTGCCGCGGGCCGAGCTCTTTGTGACACTTTGTTTGGGACCCAGAGAGGGAAGCACCCCCCCATCCTCTCCCCTCCCCCCATGTCCTCCCCAGTCCCCGGAGTTAGGGCTCCTTCCCCCACCCCCCGGCCCTACCTGGGCGGGGATGGGGGGGCAGCGGGGGTGCCCATCACTCAGCCCTCGGCTCTCCGCCGCGCACCCCCAGGCCCCAAGCACCCCAGGCCCTAGC